AGAGTTTGGAGTTTTTGATCGCAACGAATGTCACTTTGTTTTACACAGAGAGAGGACGAGATCCCAGACATCGAATGGTGGGATAGTTTCGTATTAAAAGACAACAGGTTTGTCAACACATTTTGTTGTTAACATGTACTTTAAACTAATAGTTTGTAATTTATAACTTATATTTATCCATATTTTTAGTTATCAAAGTTGCATTGAAAACAAATCAGATGGCAATGAAAAATACGATGGAATCACACATTTGGTCGAACATCCCATTCAAATGAAACCCCCCGGTATGTAGTCATTACAATTTGTTATTGAAATGTATTATATTTATGAATATTATTACTAATGTATAGCCGAACCGACAAAACCTGTGTTATTACCGGTATTTTTGACACAAAGGGAGCGGAAGAAACTTCGGCGACAGAACCGACGCGAGGCGTGGAAAGACAAACAGGAAAAGATTCGCATTGGTTTAGAGCCGCCACCGGAGCCTAAGGTGAAGATGTCTAATATGATGCGAGTGTTGGGACAACAGGCAGTTCAGGACCCGACCAAAGTTGAGGCTCACGTCAAGGACCAGATCCTGCGGCGCCAGAAAGCCCACGAAGAGGCCAACGCTTCCCGCAAACTGACTGTCGAACAGAAAAAGCAGAAGAAGACCAAAAAAATTAAAGAAGACACGAGTCTTGGCGTTTGCGTCGCTGTCTATAGAGTGCTTAATCTCATGAATCAGGCGAAGAAGTTTAAAGTGGAGGCAAATATTAAACAATTACTGATGACTGGAGTGATAGTACTCTACCGTAACATCAATGTTGTGGTCGTTGAGGGCGGACCCAAACAGCAGAAGAAATTCAAACACTTAATGTTAGATAGGATTAAATGGGGTGAAGAACAGGCCTCTAAGGATGGAAGTAATGCTTTATTAATTGTTTTATTATTACACAAAACTAATGATTTGTTTTTCATTGACAGCTGAATCGGGAGAGAAGATAGAGAACAAGTGTTTGTTGGTCTGGGAGGGGACGGCCAAGAATAGAGTGTTCGGTGACGTGAAGTTCAAATTGAGTCCAAATGAGAGCTTCGCGAGAGAGCTCTTCAAAAACCATTCGGTGGAACACTATTGGGATTTGGCGTATAGTATGTCTATATTAGACGCCGCCGACGCCTAACACATCACTATTTTCTCATTAACTCATCATTCAATTAGATTTTTAACATTCTATTCAATAAATATATAATTATTTGAAATTATTGTAATTTTCACAACAAATTATTTAAAAATAAAAATTTTTAAACGAGAATTATAACTAATAAATATATCTTTATTATCGGGTTGTATAGTATATGTTTGTTATAACGGTATCAAAATTTATTAATATTACCGATGAATAGAATTAAATAATAATAGAATTGATTAAAAATTATAATAGTGTAAAAGAGATTGAGCAAAAAGTGCGCCCAACGTGGGGCTCGAACCCACGACCCTGAGATTAAGAGTCTCATGCTCTACCGACTGAGCTAGCCGGGCTTATATGCATACACACAACACTATAATCCATATCAACATTATTTATCCCCTATTCAACACATTTGCGCGCATTTACACAAAATCAAAGTTTTTATTTTTGCCCATTATTTCAATCAAACATATTGTCGATAATATTCACTTAAGGTATACTTTTTAAATTTTATAACTATAATTATACTATATTTTCATAAATGAATTAATAATTAAATAATTACATTAAAAATATAATACACTAATTGTTCTATATTTATTTAAATAAGTTATAAGTTATAACTTATAACTTATATAAGTTATAGTTATTTTTAAAATTACTACATGTTAAGTATTTTATCGCTTTTGCTAAATAAAAATAATTATTATTATTACGGTATGTATTTTACTTGAGATTATTTGGCATTAAATAAGCATTGATTTAATCTTTATTTTGACTTTTAATTCACAATTTAATTGATTAACAAAAATACAAAATATAATAACCAATTGAAAAGTGCTAAACCGGGACGTGTCGGGCACTTCTTCGGGCGATGCCGTGAACCATACCTAATGTGGACAAGAGTGAGGTCCCGGGGCCGCACTCGAACGTCTTCGGACACTTGGTCTCCTTCGGCCTCTCATATATGATGTGAAGTATTTGTTCCCAACGAACGGGTGATACGATTTGTTTGGCTAACTTCTTGCGGATGTCGTCGGCATTGCTGTAAACCCTGGCGTCAAAGTTGGAGTGAACGGGGATTAGCGGCACATCTATTCGGATCCGTTTGAGCGCTTCTCTCATCACTTCCCTCGCGGGCGCCATAAGGCTTGTATGGAAAGCACCCGAAACTGGCAAACGCTTTGTCTTTTTAATGCCAAAAT